CCGATAAATTGTCACGTATGTAAAACGTCTTTCCACACTTTTCGCAGCATGTGCGTGCCATCCGTGCATTTGTGTTAAGAGAACATGCGTGAAAAGCCTCTAGCTACTTAGCAGTCCATAGCAGTTTGATGGCCAGTGGAAATTGGAGTTACTGACAAACTGTCAGACGTTTTCTTTAGATCTATTGTCGCTCATCCCACCATAATACTACGCGGCGTTTGTTAGACTCGGACACCTTCATATCCCGTATTGAAATTTAGTTTTATTTGTCATTGAATTGTTTGTGAGAATGCGGGCGGTTTACTCCAACCACTCGCTCACGTGATGCTGCCACCACACACGAGCAATCGTACGCAGACAACGTGTGTCAACAACTGACAATCCCTTTATGTCTTCCAAGCAAGTCGATCAGGTCTCACAGCCGTACAAGAGAACCGCACGGATAGAGGCAATGTATACCCTGCCCTTGAGTTTGAGACTGACGTCGCGACGACACTATAAGTGTCTCAGTCTGAGGAATGCATGGCGGGCTTTTGCAATCCATTGTGAGACCTGATCTCCAATACAGCCGCCAGCTGTTTGGAGCAAACAACCCATGCCTCCAAACTGTTACTCTCCGACACCGCATGCGTTGGCTCGGCCACGTATTGCGCATGTCAGCCTATCGCCTTCCCCGTCGAGCGTTAGTTGCGCTCCGCGGAAGCGATTAGCAAAAGTGCCGCGGTGGACAACTAGTGACGTGGAGGAGCATGAAGGAGGCCTACCTGTCTAGGACCCACTATCTCGTCCATACTGGCTCCAGGAGACAGTTGGTCATTGCTGGAAGGGACGGGCTGCACGGTCCTCGTGGCCGTGCTAGGCTCGAAGAGTGGTTCCATGCACTCAGTGTGGAGCGGACTACGGTCCAGCCACCGCCTTGTGTGCACTTGATTCCACAAATACAGCGTGTTTGTGTTTGCTTGTGAAAAAGTGTGGGCCGGCTCCGTTGATGAAACGTGGCTCCCATCCACGTACCTCCCGGTCTTATTCCTTCGGATTTACACTGGATATGGGGTGTGTGGTTGGAGCTGTGGATGGTGCAGCGCAAGTCATCCATGGTCCCTCTGTAGGCGCAGGCGTCCTGTGACTGACCACAGTGACAGGCAAATCTGAAACCGGATGCCGCCAACCATATATGTCACCTATTTCATCGAAAACGAATGTGCACTTTACCCTGACGCCATTGTGTGGCGTTCACGCGCGTTTTCGGCGTTAAAATTTTCGTCCTGAACGTGGGCCGAACAGGCGCGTGAACGCCACACAATAAATTCAGTGTGAAATGCAGATTAATTTTCGATGAAATAGTTGATCGTTTATGACACTGAGGTAAATGGGGTCAAAGTGACCACGATGAGATAAGTAAAAGTCTTGCTGGGAAAAACGTTTTCTCAGGTGCGACATGGTGCAAATGTGTTGTTGGTCATACATAGTAGCGTTAAAATCATCAACCCTTTAATTTCTCCGGATATCCTGATCTCTATATTTTGTATCGAACAATAGAGGGTACTACAAATGCGACCCCCCGATCACATTTCGTGCGGGGCGGTCCGCCCTTCCACCCCCCTATGCTACGCCTCTGCATGCGGGATGTTATATGCATGCCTTACAGTTGTTGACCGCGACAACGACCTATAGTTTAGCGCTTCCTCTGGTTTTTGTCCACTTAATTTTTCTGTGCGAATCTCAAGCAAACAGCCATGGGTGCTTGTAGCAACCGATTCAGGAGTCCAAGTAAGGGAGTGTATGTCGTTGCCAGTACGGTAACAAGCTGCACGATTGGTAAGGAGTCAGTTCACCATCCTTACTTGTGGTTAGCCGCTTTGAACGGATCCGAATCTACCTCAATTATCGAAAGTAGCCTCTCCACATGCGTATTCATTCAGGTCGAAAAGACATTCGTTATAGTCACTAACGAGTGCATCCCCGCTCAAGTGAATAAGAGTCTCGCAAACAAATTGCTCACTGTTACATCACTTTGGTCTAATTAATTCAGGTCAACTCTCAAACACCGACAGATCGATTCCACGCACGCGTAGCCGTTTGGCGCATCCGATGTGTTGTGTGTTTGTGCGTGAAATCATTCGCGCTGCACACAGCAGCAAATAAAGGACTGTTAGCTTTTGCGTGTGTCAATTTGTGATGAGTTGCTATCATACCAAAAGGTGTTCATACGATGAGCATGTACTTATCACGTCATCGACAAGTTAGATTCCTGAGCATGTGCACACAGTCGCGGTTCGTATTAATTTTCGGACTCAAAGTGCCGCAATAATTGTGCTGTCTTCAGTCCCAAGTGATATAAAATTTCGGTAGAGCTAAGTAATAAAAAAGCAGCCCTACAAGTATTCAAAATGCTGTATGGATTCACGGCTACTGGAAAGGAGAGTCCTGACACTTGATTTCCAACCACTGTTCTCTGCATAGACAGTAACTTGCATACCAATGGAGAAAGGGTCGAGCTATAGTCGCAGTTAGATCAAAATTCATAATTGTCGGCTATCCTACCCATGGCTCAGTGGTATAAGCTGCTGGCTAGTGGTGCAAGTCACGTGTGATTATGGGTTCGATCTTCAGCAGGGGACCGAGGGAAGGCGCATCACTGACGAGCTACCATGGGGCGAAACGATCGTCTGGTGCTTCTCCAAGTTGGTGGTCGACCTATCTGGTTTGTAATCTAGTTGCGATGAGCTGAATAAATCTTTTCATTACAACTTAGCTCACCACTACTTCCTATCCTGATTGATGTGTCTCTGATGTAAACGGAGATGTCGTGCTCATAAATAGCTCCAACTATACTAGCATCTCGTATCTTCGTATAGCGCCTTTCTCTTGGGGTCTGTCAACTTTACTCTAGGTACATGACTGATGCCCGACTTGTCACTGAGGATGAGCAGATGTTCACTTGTGATGGGGCCTGACTTATCGTGTCCCCTGGGTGTACTATAAAGTCTGAACACGAGACCACTTATTTTTAGTATTTTCAACCTAAAATCGTCTCAAGGCTAACCGGATCATCTGTTAACTGCACATGGAATTGCCTAGTTTGAGAGAGTTTACAAGTATTAAGACACCAATGTATGGATCGGTGGCCTCTTCTCCGACTCCGACCTAAGTGCCATGAACCTGGACTCTATGAGCCTAAAACGGAGATGTAACACACTTCCAATATCTGATGACTTTTCAGCACATTGCACTGTCAACTTTTCGTTTTCGTCAGCTCACCCGGCCGACTGAAAGGTGGCTTTTTTGAAACTGGCTAGTGAGAAACGGGACTAGTAAGCCAGACGGAGAGCGAAACTTGCAATCTTTTCAAAAGCTGTCGGGTACCCGCACTATGTAGGTACGACCACCTTCAGGTTTACGGTCTTCCTACCATGTGCAAATATCGTTTTCCTTGCTTTCCAGTTGTAGTGTGAAACATCACGCCTGTTGCCTGTTCGGTGGCCACTAGAAAATCTGGATTCTACTCGAAAGATGCTCGGTATTCATACCCCGAAAGACCTTGGTTTCCTGTTGATGTGCGTGAAATGACGGTCACAAAATTGACTATACACACGTTGAAGTTATCTTGCTGCTTTTAATCGTGACTACACAGATGAAAATCACATGAATATTGGCGTTCATCTTACAGACTGCTGGGGTTGTGGCTTAGAGGAGTATACAAGCTGCTGTGTGCACTGGATTTTGATTGGAGCCGACATCACACGTTCTGTTTAACGGAACGCTTCTCGCTGGCGTTTTGATACGCATTCTGAAACGGATCATAATAAGTCATAACAATCTTCAATTTGTATTTCCGCAAGGTGGACGCCATATTCCTGTTGTTTTAACCCCGTCGAAATGTCAAGCAGCCGTCTGACACGATTGCTCGAGTTCCTGGAACGATTACGAATAGGCGATATACTATTCTCCACTAATCCATGCTAGTAAGAGCAAAGCGAAAACGAATCTTCATACTAATGAGCCAAGTTGAAACGATTCGCTCCGATGACAAGGACGACACTCAACGCTAAAGGAATACTGTTTTTTGACTAGTCTCATTGAAACTCGAATAACCAGAGGAACACGTAACTTACAGGGTTGTTGGACTCACTGCTATTCTAATTCACCATCTTCCACTCGCTTTTCGGTTTAATTCCCCGTCGGTCAAACTGCAGATCGTTTTCACCTGCAGGCTTTTGGATAAAACCAGTCTCGAGGGCACTGTACACACTAAGTAGCACAAGTGCCCTCATTAATGTACCCGGCTGTTCGAGGTGGCGTGTGAGGCGCACGACAACCCCTGCAAGCCCGCCCGTAATAGAAAACCCTGAGCCACCGAGCCCACTATGTTCCCGATGTATCAATTAGAACGGTACACCGGGAAGATGTTTACACGTGCGTTAAGGCTACTTTGGCTTATCCGCTCTGCGACCACCGTCCAGCGTGAGCATGCTCACCGGCACTGGCGTCACGTATTGGTATTCTCACGACAGTGACTACTAACCAACCAGTTTCGTTGCCTATTCTTGTTATTGAAGTAAGTGGTTCATTTGCTTGGGAGTAGCCGTGCTGTTTTGCGGCCATGAACTCATCTCTTAGTGGTCCACATGCTTTAGTTCCTGCTTAATCAGAACTCGTACCTGTATGGTTCAACTCATATTGACCAATGGTGCTTCTGAAAACCAAAACGAGAGGCTTTGAAACCTGAATCTATTGCACCCAACCTTCATCAATGCATCCAGGTAGTTTGGTTCTCTTATTATTATTATTATTATTATTATTATTATTATTATTATTATTATTATTATTATTATTATTATTATTATTATTATTATTCCCAAACCGGTTGTTTGGGAGGCGCCTCTGGCATATAGAATTAAATTTACGTGTTTATTGATTATTCTATATTACTCATTGTTTATCAGTAGTCAGAACGTTTGCTAAAAGCACTTGTGTATTTCACTTTCCGTAATTTATAGTTCCATCACGCCTTGAGTAAAGTGGAGGCAAACCTCAACAAGCGCCTTCGGATGACCCATCCGGATCACATGCGGCAATTGCCTGAAGAGCTCAGCAGCGCTCCGATGATAGCAAACGAACTTCGCGTAAGTTATTTCCAACGTATCCTCAATTTTGTCCCTATACTGCATGCGGAACGAACGAATATGTATATAGTGATAGATGGTTGCTAATTTTGCAGCGTAGTCCTTATCTCCGGATCACCACCAGCAACATCAACCAACCATATTGTAACCCATTGGAAGATAATTTACAATTTGTGTATATTCATACAGACAGGATTCCTCCGATCGCTGCGATGGTTACTATCGAGACAGAGCAACTGGGGAAAGTAGACTGATACTCCCGTGGAAGCCGATGGATTAAGGGGATCTTCTGAACACACCTACGTGACACATACCTTATCAACTTGCAGTACCACGAGTAAACGAATGAGGTTGTCACAGGGGTATGAAGACTGGGGAACTGGTGTAAACTTTCTCCTGCATATGATCTACTGGTTGTTGCACCAGGACCTTGTTTTGTCGCAGTTTGCGTATCAATGTCCCAAAGTTCTGCACTGTAAATGGTATTTATCAGCCATAACTCTTTCGACTTTCCGTGGTTTCCAGCGAGCTCTAGTTCCGAAGGGCTTCCACTGGCACGAAGCGGGGACTGCTCTGTGAGCTATTAACTGGTGTTTTTCATTGGTTTATGAACTTAGGTTTTACGTATATTGACCTCACCTACTAAGGGAGCGGATGTGTTTTGGCCTTGTGAATGAGAGGCGGCTGAAAGCCCTCAATATCCATGTGCGTTATCAGTTACTGTCCCAAGGTTCCCATCAAAGTGAATCGCAGTAAAGTTTTAGATTGCGCGTCGCAATCCAGCCACACAACGACTACTTCAAAATGACCATCCAATCAGTCGTTAACTGTTGCGGCAAGCGGTGCCCATCGTGACCCGGTGGCTAGAGAGGTAGTGATCCCAACTAACATGCCATTGGTCCCCGTTTCGACATCTGCTATCTCTGCTTAAAGAGACAAAGTAAGTTCGGAACCCGTCGCGGATCGCAGCGTTTGCGGACGGCAGCACCCACTATCTACCCATTCTGCTTTTCAACTATACAACAACCCACGGTCTACTGACAAATACCATTCACCGACAAGTGTGACGGAATCTACTGTGTTTATAAGCCTGATTAGAGAGGCTGCGACACACGCTCCATCGTGAGTGGGTCACTTCTAGCAGTTTATACCTCAAGCTTTACTCGGTTGCGCCAACGGGCACCGGTTAGTGTTTAATTGTCCATCTGATGAACACACTTTTCATATTGGTTTGCTACTTAACTGATTTTCATTTTCCTCATTCCACATCTACATCGAACACGGTGGCTAGGAGTGGAATGTGATCAACGTAGTGCAAGCGCCTATATTCACAACCATGCTAGAGAGAGTCGACGGTGATTGACATCGGATAGAAATCTCTGAGCATAAGGAGGAGAAAACCAAAGTCGACTTGCAGTAACAGTTAGAGCAACAGGATAGATGATTCAAGTTATTTCGACCGCGTCTAGTGTAATGCTTACTTAGCCTTACTAGTCGGAGTACTGCTCAGGAACTAGGCAAACACAATCTCAGCTGGTTTCCAGAGTCGATATTGTGAAGGAATAACGAAACCCCGATGCAGCCACTTGTATCTAGAGTGCAACAATGGCAAGTACTCTGCGACCCATCTTTCCCAAAGTAACACTGTCAGTTAATTGACTTATCAGCAACATCGTCTATATTCTTCGATTGAAGTTGCCGTCAAGAAATGCGATGCGTTAGGTCGCAGTATCAGCAAATTGTTAGGGATGAGTGCCATACGGTCGTTTGTGTCCGAAGACAAAGGTATTAGTGGTCTACTGTTGCGGATACGTTCCGCTTCAACAAAGAGAGTACCAAGCGCTTCGTCATTCAACGTCTTTGCGACCGAGAACAGTATCCGTTTAACAGACCTAATTATGATCTCCCATGTACGTCCCTATGGCTGGACATTGGTGGGTTGTAGTGCCATTGCACCCCATGCTAAGGATCCTTGCTTGGAACCAGCCTTTCACAGCAGTACGCAACTGAGGTGCAACGTCAACGAAGTTGCTCCCATTGTCACTGAATATTTCCGCCGGAGTCCCCCTGCAGGAAACAAACCACATCAGAACTCGCGCTTGTAGACAGGTAAACAGACACCCGTATCGTTTCTCTTGCTTCCGTCCGTGTTTAACTATAAATGGTCCAAAGTAATCCACGCTGACAAATCCAAATGGGTATCATTTGTGGTAGCGCCTACCGCAGGTTTCAGTCATGTCTGTCACGCATCGCAGCCTGCAAATGATTGGATGAGTGTCATCGATGGATCAATGTCAAGGTCATTACACTTGTACCTTACTCACTTGTGGGAATAGAGGTTCAGAGCGTGTCCGCCCTGTGTTCTGTTACAGTGGGCTCCGCCCGTATTGATTCAAGACCCTGCTTCCGCAGGGGCCTAGTCTGCGTATTGTGACACAACACCATCCACGTTCCACCCGAGCTAACGGCAATGGCGCCATTAACTGTTGACCAGCAGTTGCGAGCGGTTTCTTACATGTCCAACAAGTCCCTGTCATCCGTTTCACTGCCGACATCCCGTGAACGATTCGGTATTTACGGCGTAAGTCTGCCAGAACTTGGAAAACTCCTGAGTGGCTCTCCATCAAATGATAAAATCGGATTAACAGCTGTCTAACGGCGTGTTTGGGTGACAGTATAACCGGGGATTTGAGTGCAGTGTCCTACTATGAATACGCTAACCGGCCACCAACAGAGTAAGCCACCTGGTAGTATTGGGTGGTGACGGGCCAAAGGGCCTCGCTGTATCTTAGAAACTACTGAGTCTGTATTCGCCTTTTCGAGCCGTTCTAGCTCCGTTCCATAAGCTTCGAGTTGGGCGATGCGAATGACATCGTACTCTGCTTTGTTGAGTTCGTACAGAGTAATTAGTCGATTGCGTTGCAAGGTTCCATCAGCTCCCTGACTACGGACGTTAAGTTGCTGCTTGAATCGAGACAACCACACCACCGTCCTTAGTAACTTAGTCCAGTCGGAATATCTCTGATAAAGATAGCCAACAGTGTCACCCATAATTTCGCACAAACCTGAGCAGCGGAACGATTCAAATCAACCTCAATCGGCTCAGAACTCGAGCATAACCCGGGCCACTCATCATCGACAGCCATCAGGAAAACTGCTCCAAGGAACCAGCTCTTCAAAGATGCTAGGGATGTGTGATACCTCTCAACAGCAGGTCCGCGGGATTTCAGTCAGATTTGACATGCTTCCACTGACTGGGTGTGGGTAGTCCTTGGATGACTGTTAGTCGCTTGGCGACGAAAATGCCAAATCTTCTAGGCGCATCATTTGTGTAGTACAAAACCATCGTAGAGTCCGTCCAAAACCCAACGTGCTCGAACCTTATCCGAGCTCTTTCGGGCAAATCCTCATATAGTCTCGTCGCAAGCATAGCCGCCGACAGTTCCAAAGGTGGTATAGACACTGTCTTCAGAGAGACTGCTCTTGAATTCGCATATAACAAAGCTTATGCGGTGTCTTCAGCGTGAAATCTAGCATAAGCAACCCCACCATATCCAGCTTCAGATGCATCACAAAAGATGTGCAGTTGTGGCCGCTCTCCTGTCTCCCCAAGCTTGCGAATGCACCGAGGAATCTTCAGGACATCTAACGCTTTCATTTCACGTAACCAGCACCTCCAAATGTCACTGTATTCACCAGTGACCGGATCATCCCAATGCACAGTCTGTGTG